CATAATGCAAGGAAAGGCTGAACAGAATAGGAATTCATGTCCTTTGCGGAAGGATCCGAATATGCTTTTTATCAACCACACTTGTGAAAATAATTAGACAATGAAATTCTGTTTGAAAACTTATTTTACGTTCAGTATTCAAAGTAACATGTTAAAGGCATCATAAGTTAAAGGTTAAAACATGTGAGTATGAGGAGCAAAATTTTGAATGTCCTGCTGGCAATTTTTTTTTTTTTCTGGTTCTGGTTATCTGCAAAGTATACACCCCTTGTCAGTATAACTAGGGAGTGCCTGTGTAAACATTCTTGTTTTGCCTGTTCCGCATAATCGTTTCTTGTATCATATTTCTTCTGACCTCGCTATCTGAAACCAATTACAGGAGATCCATTTGGGCTGCATCTATTTTCATAAGAAGCCTAGGCAGCAGTGTTTTTCTCAGAGATGAATATCAACATCAAATATGCTTCTGAGTGCTTTGTTATTTATGTTTCAGAGAGATTTTGTAGCCTTCAGCTCTCAAGAATGTGTCATGCTGTGCTGTTTATACATTGAAGATATTAATGGGTGTAGATGTCATTTTTCATTTTAATGTCTCAAATGCAACAGGCTGATAGGTTAAGCATTCCTATTTTTATGGGGAGAGATATGAGTGATGTCTGTTTTCTCCCAAAATATACATATATTTACTTTGAAAAAAAAAGAAGTTATTTATAAACCTTAGGATATTCAACATTTTTTTTGTTTCACTGGGTGTTTCTAAGCTATTCTCAAACAATTTTACTCCTGGTGAAAGTTTTCAGTGTTCTTCATAAGAAAACTATTGATCTGACAGGTTACAAAGCTTTTTTACTCTTAATTCTCATAATGACCTCCTCACTAGAGTTACTCTCTGTATATGAGATTCATAGGTAGCATAACATTATTACAATTGTGAAGGGTGATATGCTTGGACTTTGTTTTTCTTACAGAATTTTAATTTATTTGAAATTAGTAACAATTAGGAATGGTGTTTTCAATGAATATTTTCTAAGTTTTTATTTAAATTCCAGTCAGTTAACATAAAATGTAGCCCATTTTTTAAGAGCAAGATGCACTGAATTCTGAAAAACTTGTGCATACCCACACCTCTGCAGCCTAACACAAAGTATATTTTAATCTATTAGAAAGATTTTTAGTCATCTTTTCAAGATATTTTAATTTAACCTGATTCCAATTTTTAAAATGTCCTACCTTATTTTTTTAGTTTTACTAAAATTAGATAACTTCATTAAGTAAAGTGCACTCTTAATTCAAAACAAATGTGTTTTTGGAAACTAGATATGGCTTGGCTGCCTCAGAAACCTCTTTCTTGTTGTTCACTAGAATCACACTCAGTCATTATTAAAGGAGATTTTGTAAACATCTCTTGCCTTTTGTTCTAAGTTTTGTTTTTGTTTTTGCAGAGGGTAATCATATAATTACCTAAACAGCCTGTAGAACTTAATGCCTGGTCCTGGAATTTATCTTTTCTATTTACTAACTGAAGTGGGCAAGTGATTTTCAAATTAATATTTTATGTAATTTGACACCTAACACCTTATATTGATGAAAGTATTTTATCTCATAATCTTTCATCTTTTGCGTCACTACAATAATAAATTACAAAGATGAACTAAATGTCTCTGAGCAATTGTTTGTTGAAATGCAGTCCTAAAGTGATACCCAGAATACTGGGAATAAAAATGTCATGCGATGCCTGCCGTGAGAATGCAAACTGCCAAAGATTCCTGCTTATGAGTTTTAAATCATCCTGATCTCTTGGAGTTCTTTTTGTTCTCCCACCTCTTATGTTTACTATAGCAGTCTCTACTGCTACTAAAAGAATGTTGAGATAGGCAAGTGGTCCTTTTTCATAAGAATTTGTATTGAATGATGATCCTGGATTATTTTGAAGATAACTCTAAGTGTGTACGGAAACCAAGGTACTTTAAAAGTTTAACCAGCCATTGGTCATATTTCATTATAATTATTACTCCTTTAAAAACAGTGTACATGTATGCTTTTGTCCAGTGAGATTTTCGTGAGCTGCAATTCTAATAGATCTAATTTTCCAGTGTCTTTCTGTAGCCACTGGGTATTACATATTCCATTGGGTTACTTGTTTGGGTTGGGCTGAATGAACATCATGCAGGGTGACGAAATGAATAGGGTCCTAGGCTTGGGACACAAGAGGCTGAACTTTTGACCAACTGTGCTACTGCTTTGGACTTTAATCAAGTTATTGTCGTATTATTGGTTCTCCAGTCACTTGTCTACAGAGTATGAAGGCTAAGCTAAACAATCTGTAAGACTTATGTCCAGCTCTAGAATTCTTTAGTTTATTTATAATAACTGGTGAAATGATCAGAGGGTTACAAGAGTTTAGAGTTCCATCAGGTATTGGTAGAGTGTATGGTGAAACCCAAGTCAAGGACGGCAGAAACACTTAGCCATAAAAACAATATATATTCGGTGGTGGTTGTTCCATTCAAACACTTACATATTCAAACATAAAAAGATTATGTTGTAGTTTTTCTTTCAGGTTTTGATAAATGAATATTCTCTCTTTACAGGTGAAAATAATTCATCATGGTGCCATATGTTCTCTTTTACTAGAGTTTTATTCATTGCCATCTAATGGTTTCTTTGATGGGACAGAGAGTATGGCCCACTGGAATGCACTCTGGCCTGGAAGCAGGAGGCCTAGAACAAAACACTTGATTACTCTAGGCCTCATTATTCTCATTTGCTAAACTGAGGACATCAGAGTAGATGATTTCCTTATTTTTTATTTTTTATTGTTATGTTAATCACCATACATTACATCATTAGTTTTTGATGTAGTGTTCCATGATTCATTGTCTGTGTATAACACCCAGTGCTCCATGCAGAGCGTGCCCTCTTTAATACCCATCACCAGGCTAACCCAGAGTAGATGATTTCTAAGAGTGCTTTTAGTCCCAGCCATGAATGATTTCAAGATTCAGAACTGTGTTCATTAGATTCCTTCAAGAATAATAAATAGCTACAGAATTAAATATAAACTAAGACTCCATGTATACAAAATAAACTGATGAACTCAAACGGAAATAATAATCTTATGAAAAAAATTAGGCAAAATTGGTGTGGATTTTGGCATCTGAGGCAAAAGTGGTTGACGGATTTTTTTTTTCTTTGAGAGTTTTACATAGACACAATACAGCCTAGGTCACACTATAGTAATTTCCACTTAAAAAATGTCATTTGGAGTTATTTCATATGTTGCGATTAAAAAAAGGAAAGCTGTATTATTTAGAATATTAAGTGAAATATTTTAAACTAAGTTTGGTGATAATCAAGTATTTGTGGAATTTTTTATTTGGTCTTTTTTTTTTTTTTCCAAAGTGAACTTTATAATAAAATTGCCTGAGTTCACTGGAAACATTTAGGGTTGGAATTACTTGAAAAATTGGAGAAAAAAAAAAAACACAAAAGATTGCTATGAGTGAGTGTGTCTCCAAATGTAAAAAGTGTGCTTTACAAAGTAGGCCAGATCCTGCTCTGAGAAGACAAATCAGTGTTGTTAGGGGATGGTGCTGGTGCCTTCAGTTTGTTTACTTTGGTTTCTATGTCTGCCTGCCTTCTCAGAAAACTTGCTTGGAGCCAGACTGTAGCAGCCCTCTCTCTGTCTTTTCATAATTGATCAGGGGATGACTGCCTTCCCTGAGGGTTAAGACGTGGCAACTTTTTCTGTTTGCTCAGCATCTCAATGCAGTAGTTCAAACATTGTTCACACCGGCTGGCAGTGTAATGCCATATGCACATCTTGTCAAAGCAACTGTTGTCATGGATACTAGAAACTCTCTTAAAAACCAGATCATTGATTCCAATCAAAATTGTACTTTTTATCAGCTTAGAATCTCAATTATCATAGTAGAATATTGATCTAAGATATTTCTCCCATCATGAAGAATTTACCTCGTATTCTAAAGCACCGAATAACAGAGTAGGGCAATGATTTATTTTAGTTGTATGTGTTGAAAAATTTCATCATTAGTGTTCATTGAACTCAGTTATTGAGAGAAAAAAGGAGTTTGCAAAGGAGAGGCTCTTAAAAAGTTTTTTTTCTCCTCAATTTACATTGCTGCTTTTAAAACATCTCAATATGTATTTTTTAGGGTACTTATTTTTATATGTTTATATAATACACTCACCAAACTGTCCCTCCTCCTGTAAAAGAAATTTAATATAACTTCTTATATTAAATTTTATTTTCCTGAATGGGAAAAAAAAAAACAGGAAAATAAATGAAAACATCTTCTATTTTGATTGGTATTCTGTCACACATAGAAACAAACCTGATTGGTTGAGTGGTAATTTCTTTGTTCTCTGATTTTGCTAAGAATGCAAATGAAAACCACTCAATTTTATTTGGCATTAAAACTGCACTTTATTTTGTCAAAGGAGAGGTTTCCCTTGAATTGTAAGTACAAAAAAAGTGTTTTTAATCTTTAGTGAAAATCCTTATTAATTCACTTTCAAGATAATCTGATGTTGATTTGTCAAATTTAATTACAGCTTCCGGTAACACTTGAAGTCTACTGCTTTCGCTTCAAAATTGTAATATGAAAATGCAAATTGAATGATAATTTAAAAGGGAGTGGGCATTTTAGTTGAACACTCAAAGACAAGTTCCTTGTGGAAATGAGGTTATTGATGCAGTTTATGATTTTTTCCTCTTTAAGCACTTTAAACAAATTAACTTTATTTCCTGAAGGATTACATGTATCTCCATGACTTTAAGTAAAGTTGTATATATGTGATATGTGGAATTTTTATATCACATTAGAAGAAGATCTTTAATAATTCTCTCTAGAAAGGAGGATGGGAAAGGGGTTCTCATACATTGAAGCCTTTTACTATTAACCAAGGAATAATCAATTATTGATAATCAATTTACCCTTCAGCAAAGTATTTAGATATTGCTCCCTTTTTACTTCTAGGCTCTCCAAGCAGCAAGACAACTTCTCTTACAGCAGCAAACAAGTGGATTGAAATCTCCTAAGAGCAGTGATAAACAGAGACCACTGCAGGTTAGTAAAGCATTCTTGTCCTTGGGATCTTATTTTAAAAGATGCTCATAATGATAACAAATGTGCAGACCCAGTTGTATACATTCAGAAAATTTTTACATTTGCATATGTCGGTAATTTTAATTCAAAAAGAGAGCTCATTTTATCTTCTTGAAAGGGAAACAAAATTTCTATTCCCATAGATTTCAAAAGTCTGCAAGGTCACTTATTACAAAAATTATATAGAAACCACGTTTGGGATATGTAGGCCTAAGAAGTTTTATATAAAACTCCCTTGTGGGATTGTAACGGAATTTTATTCACAAACAAGTTAAAGTAAAATGTGAAATTTCTTCCTTAAAAGCAAAGCCATAGTAAGATGGTATGGAAGGAGACAAAGCAGTTTTAGACAACCCTCCGCAGTTGTATCCAAGTGACAAATGCAGAAACCCTCCAGGGTTGCCAAAAAAACTGTTTGAGTTTGCCAAGGAGTTATTGCTGTTGCTACAGTTATAAAAACACATTCTGGAGTTTGTTGTCCTTATTCACCATGTTTGTCCTGTGAAACTGATAGTATGTATGTCCTTTAAAGTAACTTTTTGTTACATAATATAACCATTGTTTTATATAATCTTACCCAGAGTACATAGGACATTGTTTGGGGGGAAGAAACATTTTTAGGGTGTAGTTATTAAATGTTTGGAAGGTAGAATCTGAGGTTACATAAAACATCTTTCAAAATGTTTATCAGCTCTGTTGAAAGATAAGCAATGCTTTTTCCTGAATCATGTGCTATGTACATGTCTAATAAGGTATGCTTAGTTTGAAAAAAAAAGTAAGCATCTTTCTTGTTGCTTTATTTTACCCAAATAATCTTGGAATTTTTTTAATGGCCTAGCTGTCTATTTTCATTTTCAGGTGTACTCCCAGATGTTAGTAACTAAGTCTTATATGATGGCTTCCTGAAGTTTAGTATGTATGACAGAGAATTACAGGCTACTGATCTACACAATCCAGAAACTACTTATTATGTAAAAACTGGATTAAATTTTTGGTCCCTAGACAAATTTGAGATGAGAATATATATTCTTGGGAACAAACCCATTTGTGGGAGGTGGGTGGGAAGAAGGAGGACTTGTGGAGAGGGGATGTGTTCCAATAGTCTAAAGTTCAAATGTCTGCCATGATTGCAAACGTTGTATTGAATCAGCCTGAGTTTAAGATTCATTTTAATTTTTTTAAATAAATGTCACGCTCTTTTGTTTAATCAGTAATTTTATGGCAACACAATTTCCTCACCATCATCTCTCCCCAAGTAATGCCAGTGATTGGAGTCTTTCCATCGAATTGTCTTATTCCAAGACAGCCTCTCCATACATTTGCATGACAGAGAAAAATTTACATGGAAGTCACAGAAGATAGCAAATGAAGTGTTTCCCTCACTGTGGCTTCAGAGTGGGAATTTTGCACTGTTGTTGGTATAGCAAAGGAGGTTTAGACGCTGGCAGCGTAAGCCAAAGGTAGGAGTTTATTGTTTCGACTACTGGAAAAACACTACATACATATTGTCCTAATTCTGTTTTAACATGTCTCTTGACAAAATAGACAAAGTAGTTGTTCCTTCCTCCCCAAAGCTAAGTCCAGTAGAAGTTTCTTTATTGCTGGTTACCAGGGCATCTCTGGAAAGAATGGCTGGGCTTTAGGTTTTTTCTTTCTTTCTCTTTCTTTCCTTCTTTCTTTCTTTCTTTCTTTTTTGTTATTGTTGTATTGGAAGGCAAGATTTGATACTTCGTTTAACTAAAATATCCATAATTTTTCATAGAAAACACACACATATAATGTAGGAATATTAATGACTCTAAAATCAGAAATTGTTGCTCATGTACCAGATGTTGTATAAATAAAATTTTGAGCAGAAGTCCTCAATTTTGTTATTTTATTGTGAAAGGGTGATTGAAAGTAATTTAAATACCTTTTAACAATCTCAGGTGCTAACCATTACTACAAAGACTTTTCTTGTGTCACTTATATTTAGTGTTTTATGATGCATATCAATATGAATATATCTCCATTGTATAAATTATAAAACAGTAGCATTTTTTTTATTATTTTGTATTTTAATCAGGTCTAATGCCAAAATGTCATAGGAATGAACAGTTGGTTTTTATGAATGAGAATTTAGAAATAATGAATGAAGACTTATCTGTTCACCAAAAAATACACTGCTATTAATATAATGTGAGCCTGAAGTTTTAGTATACATAGTATTTGATAAGTTTAGCAACATTAAACATACTGCGATTGTGTTTAAAACCTAATAGCATTTTATACTAGTTTACATATGTTGTTAAATGAGGATATTAGGTAATGCTTATCCTTGCATCTGCAAATGCTATTTATTGTGAGTTACACTATTACCACTTATGTTAAAGAAAAGGGTTGAATATTTTTGTTAAAATTTTTAAATGAAATTAACACTTTAAAACCTTTATGATTTTCTCACGGTCTGGTTCTTTTTCTGCTTAACTAAGAGTTTCACCAATCTTTCAAAATAGAGTTGGTGCAGATTATCTCTTAAAATTCATAAAGTTAATTGAACATGTTTCAAAATCTGCACTTGCAAAGGCTAGGTATTTGGTGCTTGATAATAAATCATGGTGGTTTGTGCTTTATCAGGCATCACACATTTTTAGAGGACGAAAGGAGAGTTTGCGTTTTTCATTTTAAAATATAGTTTTGATGGAGAACTATTTTATAAAGTTTGAAAAAATACAGATTTTTTAAAAATCTGTTTTGATGGCTCAAGTCACAAGAACAATATTAAGTCTTGTTACACTCAACTGATTTCTTTTAAATATTGAGAAATGGTAGCCAGATTTGAAGTGTGACATGGTAGAGAGTCTATTTCTAGCAGACTAGTATTTATCTACTATTACTTTCTCATTTACATTTTTTCAGGGTTTTGTGCTACAGATGGCATAGATATTAGCCTATCTAATACAAAATGGAAAGAAAAAAAATCACATCTGACAAGCTTGAGTACCGATTGTGTAGTAATTTCACTTTCATGTACAGGTATCTGAATATATGTATTTGAAACATGTTTACATTTTCTATTCATTACATAAAACACCTGTTGAATAGGTCCAATCAGTAGATACATTGATTAATGACATATTGATTAATAATATATAAAGATTGTGATGCAAATTGGAGCTGATACCAACCTAAGCATTACCAGATGTTTCTTCTTTACATGCTTACTATGTATCCCAGAAAACATACTATAACAGCTGAAGGCAGCCTCTTATCTTGATTTGTGATATTTATTAATATCTACTCCTGGCACTTCCTAGACTTGGTTGGTATACCCATAGTGGTCCATAAAAAGAAAAGTTAGCCAAAGAGAATAAGTAATGTTTTCAATTTCATGAAACTAATTTCCAGATTAAAAAGAGTGAATTTCTTTTACTCTTTTTAAAAACACGCATGCACACAAAGACACACATTTGCATATGCATATGCACACATGCACACTTCCATAATCTATAAATTTTAAATCTTTTTTGTAAAATACATTATCAGTTTTCTAGCCTATGACAAATCTACTTAATTTAGTTTAGGTATGAAAATTGGTCGCATTATTGTTCTTGTTACATTTACAGCCATGAGACAGACTTGTGGTTCTTCAACAGCTGTGCAGAGCAGAGACGTAAATTTAAGGTAAATGACATTGCTTTGCTATCTTAGATGAATATTAGTATATAGTATTGTAATCACTTCCTTCATTGTAGGTTAAAATCTAATATAAGATTCTCTTTTCCAATAGGTAATTAAACATTTTTTAATAACTATGTTAAATAGTTGAATATTGGAAGAATAAAAAGCAAAAGTGAATTAAACTTAGGGGTCTTATTCTGACTCTGCCACAAACTAGATACCTAAGTTAAAGGAAGCCACTCAACATTTTTAAAATAAAGACATTGGGCTAACTGACTGACAAAATATTATAATCTGTGCTTACAGATTTATTTTTTTTTTGAAGTAAGTTATAGGCATCTTAATTTCTTAGGAATAGCTGTATCTTGCTGGGTATTAAGTTATGAGTTAAGGAGTATGTTTGTTTGTTTGTTTGTTTGTTATCAGTTACAAAGCACTTTTTTATTAACATACCATAGCCAAGAATAATGTTTTGGAATCAAAGTATTAAATCCCATATACATGGAAACCACGGTACAAGTATCTTTTTGTACAATATCTGAGGAAACTTTGTTCTGTTTAATGCCTTGAACTAATTTTACAAATTAATTTTAGGAGAAATATAAGCTACATGAAGAATTATTTTACCTATGTATTTACTTTAATAATCTACATTAAAATATGTTGTGTTATAATACAATTTAGCAAATTTCTACCTTTCTCTACTTCTTCAGTTCAAAATGCTAAAATTAATACCTGCAGACAAAACAAATTCTGCAGTAAACTGATCAGCACTTCTAAAATTCCATATTCTAGGAAAAAATCAAGAATAAAGTATAAAATATAAATAATGAAATATATATTCTGGGAGAAAATACTAACTGTAGGTATAGAATTAGACATTGATAAATATGTTTTAGGAAATTATAAAAGTTCATGCATGCAGTGGTAAAGAATAATATTGAATATTTCCTCTTCAACATAATTTCTGATTTCTAGTGTGTAAGAATTAGAGAGAAGCTAAAACACATTTAGTTTCAAATACTGAAAATAACATAAAGAAATTTGCAGTATCGTTTGGGTAGGGCAATGTACTGAGATGCAGAAAATTTAATAAGATTTTTTTAAGTTGTTTTGTTATTTATATTCCCTGTGTATCAAAAAGTTAAGCAGTAATTCTAACACATTGTTTTTATATCATAACTCATAAATTTTAAAAGAGTTTAACTTAAAAATTACTCACAAGGGCTGACTTTGCTTTGTATAGTCCTGATTTTCCCATTACGGTAGAGAACATTTCTTAAAAGGCAGCCTGAAATAGG